CGATGTTTCTTGTTGTGAGGAGCCAAAGAAAAGAGATTTACTATAGTAATAATATCTATACACATGCTACTTAAACTCTAGTCATTCTTTTTAGCTGAACTAAGGCAAGGTTTTAAAACCAGCCAAGGCTGTAATAATTAGAAGTCTTTGCAGTTATTATGGAGGTTGTTTTTCTGCTGAGTTCACACACATGCTGCAGATTCTAAGCCAAAGGAAGGAAGCACGCGTTGGTACAAAAGCACACTAAAATGTCACTCATTACCTACCCTTCTGCTGACTGGTCATGGGCGACTGGCGCCAGGGATGTCAGTTTTCCAAGAGAAGGGAAATCACTGGTGTAAAGCCTGAATGTATGGAAAATACCATTTTTTATACTCAAACATCCATCTTAAAGCAGCGGAGGTGCTAAGCAGCACATAGGGCAGTCGTATCTTTTGGAAACGTAGCTAAACACAAGTGCCCAGGAGTCCAAGATCTGACTTAAAGCAGTGGTGAAGGTGGCAGGCAAGTTCTCTCCTTCTCTCTTCACTCTTCCCCGGAACACTATGACCAAAATTAATAATTCACTATGCCCTCCCAAGCCTGAATATTCACTCAAGCACAGAGAGAAGGACTTGGAAGACTTTTTAAAAGCCCCCTGCTGACTGGGACAAAAAACTTTGCTCAGTTATGAGTGGAATGTGCTTTTATAAAATCTAAAACAGCCATTAAAAAAACTGTCGTTCTAGGTCAAAAGCTAACAAGTTGAGCTATGCACGCTCATCAATTCCCCCGTTCCTTCACAGTAGAGATCTGGCATGGTTTAAAACTGCTGAGAACATAACAGTGATTGACAAATGAAGAATAGATGTTAAGGAGTTACTGTGCTGAATAAATTTTAATTGTTTTTATAAAACACAACGGATGCTGATGTACCTCTTGCATTTGCAATCTCAAGCAGAAAACTGAGATAAGTTTCTCTACCAAGACCCTTGCACGCCTTGCGTATCACGCTTGTGAAAGCACCCCTAAATGGGCCATGCCCCAAAGTGACTTAGGGAGAGAGATCCTGAGAAATTAAACAGCTCTTTGAATTCCTTGTTTTCGGCTTTGTTCTAGTGAAAGCATGTCTCTTATTTTTAGTGTGTGTGCAGCGTATGTGTGAGAATATGTTTCCTTTATTATTTTTACTTGATCTGTGCACTACTGGTTCGCCAAGCACAGAGGTTTAGTTCCAGTTAGATGGGGGCACATGACTGCATTTCTGTTGAACTACTCAGAATCTGTGGCATGGACTTTATACTAGCTTTATAATAGCTGGTAGAGGACAGGTGATATCTGATCTGACATAAAGTGACAATGGCACAGAGAGACGGTAGCTGTAATCGCATTAAGCATGCCAGTACAAAATTAAACCAGCAAAATTTTTGAAGAAATATTAACGGGCAGCACGAGTTAAAGTTGGATGTGCACTCTGTGTAGTGGGTTGTGGCATATCTCGTCTGAATCTTGGGACTCTAATGTGGGATTTATTGTGTCATCAAGCCACAATCAGAGAGAAGGAGGGTGAACTGTGTCTTTTATAGTTGCTAAAAATTGAAAGCCCTCTGTCACTGGTACGCTCTTCTCAGTGAAAAAGCCAGTGCTATTTGAAAGCTGCTTTTAGAGAGGATTCAGTCATCATTTGCATGTTAAATCTCTGAGAAGAGTCTATGTTATTGCATAAAATAAGGGAAAAAGAAGAGTAACAAATTGATAACGTGCATTAACAGTGAGATTTAAGGGAGCTGCACAAGCATTTGTATAATTGTATTTCATTGAGCTAATTGAACTAATTTCATTGAGACAGTTATTGTCTACTTGGATCACTTAAGTGGCCTAAGACCAAAACATACACTTAATATCGTACAGCCACTTATGCCGGTCCCCCAGTGACATGTTAACAATGTCAATAGACTCTGCTAGCTAAATATTAGCTGGGTTTTTCTGGTTAAAAGAAAATCAGGTCTTCATTAAATTGTAAGATAAAAGAAAATGATTCTGCCTTTCATTAGTTTATCTGGTGTATTAGTTTGATGACTGGATAACTTGAATCACTAATTTATTGACCTACCTGAAATCACAGCCTAAACTTCATGTAATGTAGCATATTGCTTTGTTTCTCAATTAGTCTGGTGAAATTGTAAGTGGATTGGGTAAGTAGCATACTTTGTGAGATTTACGTTTCGGCACTCACTGTTTTTATGCAATCCATACGCGGGATACAGAACCTGTTTACTTCATCAGGTTGTGACCTGGGTCACAAACTCTGAAGGCATACATAAGCTCTGGTGTGAAATCACAAGCCTCGTCTTGCGCCTGTCTCCAAATGATTCCCTACATCCCTTACGCTACCCAGACTGTACCATCACCAACAGTATGGGCAAAGGTAACAGTTAGCTGTCTTGCAATATTGAGAATGGAGCTGTTTGTCAATTAGAAATACGCATATGTGCCATGGATTTGCTTGCATGCCTTTGTTTATCTGCATAAATCAACAGAAGGCGTAGAAATGCCAAAGGTACCTATAATGAACACCTTTCTGGATACAGAGTTTGAAACAAGGCAAAGTAGGTGACTACCTAGAGCAGCTGACTTCTGCAGGGCAAAACAGCCACAGCCGTTCGACTGACTTTTTCAGCCTGGAGGGATGGGACCTGTTTTGTTCATTTTTCCTATATATCATGCTCCTTTAAGGGGCTGTGGTTTGGCAGCTGGGAGAAAGGGTGCCTCGCTGTCTTCTCTTGGATGCTGCAGCCACCTGTGGAGGACCTTGGGAGGGGGGACAACAAGCCTTCCTGTGGAGCAAGTAAGCACGATGGGTTTGGTTGAAACATCTCAAGTGTAGCGTGGGACAGCGAGAGGCCTCATCGAGGGGCCTGCTTTAAGAGTAGAAACAAGGAGGTTTTCTGAGAAAAGCAGGGAGCAGCGACACACCAGGCCTGGAAGGTAACAGAAAGGGAAAGCTGGGCTGTGCGGAGTTGTTACCCAGGAAAGTAGCGAAGAGTTGCTCAGGTGAGAGCAGGTCTCAAAGAAAGGACCAGGCCTAAAAGGATAGAGACAGAGGGGAAGAGTCATTTGCAAATTTCTTGTTTCACCTCGCTTCAAATGTTTTCTATTAAGAAAAATTGTACTCATTTATGTTCTACTAAAATCCACTTTCTTGAGTTAAGCGCTTTGTGTTTTGAGGCATTTGTTGTAAAGAAAAACGAGAGGTACCTCAAAGCTCTGCTGACTTCTACCCTAGTGCTAATAGCATTACATATGCCATTACCTCCAAAATGACTTGGCTTGCCTTTAGCTGTTTTACAGGGATTATAGCATGAATCCCTTAGTTACTTGCTGATAGCGGCGTTCCACTCCTTGCGCTTTTTGTTTTGATTTGCACATTTATAAAGCAAGAGTAAATTGCAAAACATAGCGATTTGAATTTAAACACATTGCTGAACTTTGGCCTGTAAGCGTCAGGTTGCAGTCATGATCATTCGCGCTTCCACACGCTGGGTACAGAGGTAAAGAGCGATATACGGGAAAGGCCAAGGAGAAACAGACTCATAAAGCATTTCAGCAGAGCTCAGTAGTATTATTGGGCTATATTCATCAGTCTGATTTTTGCCCTTTCAAAGGCTTTTGTCTTTGCAAAGTGCATCGCATGGGGCCCTTTATTACAGATGCAGGGCTTGAACAAAGCATCTATTTGCTCCCGTATACCTATTAATGTGGTAGTGTGTAATTTGTGCAGTGTTCCACATAGCATGACGAGACAAATAACTGCATGGGTACTTCCTTATTCCTGTGACAAAAGCAGTTAGGGGAAACAGAAAGGGTAAAAGGAGAAGAAGGAATTTATGCAAAAAGAAGAAAAAATAGTCACAAATGATCTAAAAAGATTTTATTTGAGGAGGAACTAATGTTCCTGTTTACTGTTAAATTCCACTGCAGTCCAGCAGCACAGCAGCAGCTTTTAAAACACCAGCATTCTACAGATGTTTTCAGTAGCAATGTATGTATAAATACACACACACACACACACACACATACATAAAATATATATATGGAATATCTAGGGTACATTTTATTTTGGGGATGGATTCTGGCACCTTTGACAGCACTGAAGTGGTTAATTTGACACAGAAGTATATTCTGTTTGTTTGTCTAAATAAACTAAAAGTAATGCCAAAGTACCCAAACACCGTATTG